GGTGGAAAGGAGCCACTCAGCTGCCATGGAGACTGTGCTGGAACACCCCAAGTGCCCAGGTCTCAGCTGCAACTTGGGGGGATGGGCAGGGCCCTGGCTGACAGACATGAGAGGCTGAAGACTGGAACTCTGGGTGATACAAAACAGTGTCAGATTTAGCAACAATGGGGGTTTTCTGAGAGGCTAAGAAGTCTAATCTGAGAAACACAGAGGAATCAGTACATCTGGGTTTGGCAGTGGGCTGAACCCTAATATATTGGCACTGACATCGTTTTCTCTTTTTCTTTCCGTTTCTGCCCTAGCAAAATTGTAAGCTCCTGCCTTGAGGTGGTTAGAGGTAAAAAGTAGCCTCTGGTGGGTAAATGATGACATTGTCACCACTGTAGAGTGACAGGGTAGTTGTGCCCTATTGTGAAACACCTCCTCTCCCTGGAGGTGTTCTCTCCTGCTGCCTAACAGGGAAATCCCTCCCCCTGCCCCGCACAGGTAAGAGACCTGTGTTTTGGGGCCAGGGCCCGAGAAGTTGGTCAGATCTCCTTGGACCCTGAGGCCCTCCTACTGGGGAGAAACGCTGATGTCTCATGATTCCGCTGCCACTGCTTCCTCACTGGCTTCTGACTCAGGAGCTGTCTCTAGAACCAGCCTCTCTGTCCTCACTCAGACTCACATGTCTTGGACAGTTGAAGGGACTTCCTGTTTTAGAGTCCCCCAGCCAGGGTCACTGAGTGGCTAATATCCAGCCCCATTATCTCTAATTTCAGACAGGTGTTCCCTAGTCTCTGGCCATGCTGGGAGGCTAGGAGGCAGAGTAGACAGCCACACTTGATCCTGGGAGTGGGGTGCCTCTTCCTGTTATCCTGGGGTGGTCAGCAGGGCTTCGTTTTTCTGAAGGACTAGAGGGCTCTGCAAGGCTCCTGGAACAGAGATTTGTACCCAGAGAGAAAATGCTTCATTCAGATCTCTGCTCAGCTGTGCCAGTGAGCAGTCCCCGCTCTGCCCCCCACCTGACACACACACACACACACACACACACACACACACACTTTCTATACCTTCTCCCTGCTCTTTTTTTCTTTATGGCACTTCACACCAGTATACCGTATTCTGTGTGTGTGTGTGTTTATCTGAGTGGTCAGTGTTTCTCTTGCTGGGAGCTTTCGTAGGGCAGATATTTTGTCTTGTTCGCTGCTATGACCCCAGCACTCAGAATGTTTATCAAATAAATATGAATTGAATGAACGGCTGCCAGGCACTGGGTTCCAAGGGCCCCAGGCCTCCCGCCACAGTATAATGGGCAGCCACCACCTGCTGGGTCTCCAGCCTCCTCCTGCCCACAGATCCTTCTCTGTCCCGCCTCCCCACCCCGGGCTCGCCTCCCCACCCCGGGCTCGGTGCTCAGGCGCGGGCAGAACTGGCTGGGACAGCGGGAAGCTTGGAGACAGGCTCTGGGGAGATGGTGAAGACCCAGCTCTGGCTGCCTCCACAGCCTTGTCCTGCGTAAAGTATTTAGTCACCCCAAATCAATCCATATTTTACTCCAACCTTACAGATGAGGACGAAGGTTCAGGGACATTCTATGACCCACTTAATTGTTGGTTAACCAGTGTTGGAGGTGAGGTTGGAGGGGAGGCCTAGTTTACCCCTCCCCTTTACCACCCCTGCCTAACCACTGCTGAGCCCTCGTTCATTCGTTTATCGGGGGAGATGGGCACGTACACAAGTGGCTGGGATGCGGTGCAGTGGCAGGCTTCGGCCCATGATGAAGGTCAGATTGGAGGGACACAGAAGAGAGAGCTGACCCAGCAATGCCAACCTGGACAGAAGTGGGGGTTAGGGAAGACTTCCCGAGCTGCACTGCTTACCAAGGCCCTTCACGCTCTGGCCTGTGCTCACTTACACCCATCTCTTCTCCTCACACAGCCCTTGAGCTGTTTAAAGGCATGCATACCAACCTGCTTCACCCCCTCCAGCCCCTGCTCATGTTACCTCTTCCAGGCAGCCTCCCCTGACCCCAGGCTCAACTGAGTCCCCTCCTCTGGTCCCCACGACTTCTTTGCCTCCCTCTGTCTCACTGTATTGAGAACCTAGCTTCCCGTGGCCCACTTCCCAGCTAGGCAGCCCCTTGAGAGAGGAGCTGTGGCTTTTTTTTCCCTACCTCTGGATTTCCTCAGCATAAATTCCGTGAGAATTGTGGGGACACTTCCCAGGAGTGGGATCAGAGGAGGTGTTGTCAGACATGGCAGGCATATAGCTATAGAGGTGGAGCAGCAAGGAGTAGGGGAATGACCCCTGAGCACAATGTCTAAAAGTGGGGCCTTTTGGGGAGAAACTGAGGAGAAGCCAGTAGACAGGAACTCATCTGTCCACTGACCTGACTGAAACATCAGCACTTGGACCTTGATGCTGTTAGAACAGGAAGTCAAGGGGCGGCCTTTTTGTGTGCTCAGACACCCTGACCCCCACTGACCAAGTCCTGCTGCCAGAGTAGGGAGTGGGAGAGGCACGGAGCCCTTTGCCAGGCCACACTGGCCCTCTCTCCTCCTGCAGACAGAGCCACAAACCCCCTGAACAAGGAGCTGAACTGGGCCAGCATCAACGGCTTCTGCGAGCAGCTCAACGAGGACTTTGAGGGGTAGGTTGCCTCTCTCTCGTTTGCTCTTTCTTTACAGAACCCACTGTCCACCTGCTGTACACACTCCAGACCCTGGCCTCAGGCAGAGACATGGGTGGGTTGGGACCCAGTTTCCATTCTTTTTTTTTTTTAAAGATTTTATTGGGAAATTGGGGAAGGGGAACAGCCAAGTTGTTGTCCTTCAATCCTAGCTTTGGAGAGCGCAGCCAGCTAAGCTCCAAGTCTAGTCACCATCCGGCTGCCTGTTGGCAGCTCGCAGCCACTCAGCTCAAGGTGCCGTGTTCCATCTTAGTTGCAGGGGGCGTAGCCCACCATCCCATGTGGGAGTCGAACCGGCAACCTTGTTGTTAGGAGCACGTGCTCTCACCAGCTGATCCATCCTGCCACCTGTTGGCAGCTCAGCTTGGGCGTAGCCCACCATCCCATGTGGGAATCAAACCGGCGACCCTGTTGCTCAGAGATCGTGCCCTTAACCAACTGAGCCAAACTGGCCCCCCAGTTTCCATTATTAATGTGCTCACAAATGAAGGATGGTAGTGGGCACTTTGTGCTGAGTGCTGCTTGTGTGAGCTACCTTCTTAGATGGGCCTTGCTGGACCCATTTTACAGGTGAAGAAACTGAGGCTCAGGGGACTCAGCAGTTGTCCCAAGATCTCGCAGAGAGAAAATGGTAGTCCTGGGTTTGTCAAAATACACATCTTTGGCTGCACACAGACTTGGACTAGACTGTCCGGCAGGGAACTTGGGGTGGACATGTTGGCAGGCTCCCTGCGTGGTGCTGAAGTTTGGGGTACACAGCTCAGTATGCTTCACCTCCCCTGCACCTCCCCCGGTACAGCATTCCACTCAGGGAGGCCATGCAAGCAGCATGATGTATGTGCTCCAGAATCTGGCTGCTTGGGTGCAACTCCCATCCCCTCTGTTAGCTGAGTCACCTTGGGCAGGTAATTGAATCCCTCTGAGCCTCCATTCCTCCAACTGTAAAGTAGGGTGTTAGTGCTGCCTACCTTGGAAGGCTCTTATAAATGTGGCAGGAAAATGCACGTGGGGCACCTCGCACATCATAAGCACCCAGTACATGTTAGCTGTTAACCATCACTCATGACAGGTCTTTCATGATCTGCTAGACAATATCACCACCTCCACCAGGAAGCAGCTCTGATTTCCCCCAGTAGGATGTCCGGTACTGCCTTGAGTTCCCAGGGAGCTATGTCTGCCCATCTCTCCTGGTACATTGTCATGTTCTGCTCCCAAATTGGGGCCTTGAAGGTGGTGGTCATTTATCTGTACTTGTCTCTATGGCAAGCCAAGGACACGGCAGATCAGTTCTCAGTAAAGCTGGCCGAGGGGCTGAGCTCATGCCTTTTGAAGGGCCCCAGCCTGCATTCCCTGCCTGACCCTGCCCTGTCGTGCCACAATCTCCAGCCCCATCCGCAATCCATAGAGAGAGCTGGGCCTTTGTATCTGCTCTGCAAAAGCCACTGAGGGCTGCAGCCCCAGCAGGGTAGAGAGGCAGCCCTCCCCTGGGGTTCCTGAGCTCTGTGGCTATTCTGGCTCTGTCTGTTCCTCTCACCTAGGCCTCCACTTGCTACCCGGCTATTGGCCCACAAGATCCAGTCCCCACAGGAATGGGAGGCGATTCAGGCCCTGACGGTGAGGAGAAGGGGAGAGAGGGTGCCAGCCATCCCCCAACCACGTGGATAGAACCAGGGAGGCCAAGACTGAGGTTTTAGGGGTCCCATTAGGCTCTTCAGAAAGGGTGTTATGCCACAATGGCCTAGAATGGGAGTCTGGGCCAGCCCATGAAGGTCCTACAGCAACCAGTGGGCTGGTCCTCCACCCCAGACGCTGCATAGGTAAGGGAGGAGGTCCCCAGGGCCATCTTGGCCCCAGTGGTTCCCCGCCTCAGCTGTGCATCAGATGTCCAGGAGGCTGGTTAAACTTAATGAATCAGACCTCCTGCAGCACCTGCACCCAGGAATGTGCATGCTTGCAAAGCTCCCAGGTGCATTGCGGAGCCAGGCCAGCCCATCCCATCAGTGGTCTCCAGACACAGGGCAGCGCTATCCTCACGGCGAGTGCGAGGGGTGATGCCTGGGCTTGAGCCAGAGGTTTTGAAGCTGTGCCAGTAGCAGAAGATTGGGGGGTGCACTGTCTGTGGCCTCCAAGCATGGGTGACACAGCTACAACCATATAGCAAAACGGATCTTAGGTGGCAGTAAATGGTTTTTGTTTTAATAGTTACGTATCTTTCTTACTACGTGAGATTTTTTAGCGTTTTTTTTTTTTTTGGTCAAATACACACTAGTCCTATGATTTCACAAATAGGCCAAGGTAGATGGTGCCTATTTAAGTGTTTAAAAAACAATCAAAGGAATGTAATGGAACTTACAAGTGGTATTCAGATGTGGCCAAGCCATGGAGGGGCTGCAGCGTGCTGCACCTGGGGCGTGGCCCAGCCGCATCCCCCAGGGGATGGTGAGCAGGCTCAAGGGTCTCTGAACCTCAGAACCCTCTTGTTCTCATGAGTTACTGCTCCCTTATAAATGCTTGTCCCTGGGCTTCTGAGCCCTGGCTGAGGTATGGGAGGGAGGCTGCCTCCTCTGATCCTCCCTGGTCCCTGCACCCCACTTCCCCCCAGGTGCTGGAAACATGCATGAAGAGCTGCGGCAAGAGGTTCCACGATGAGGTGGGCAAGTTCCGCTTCCTCAACGAGCTCATCAAGGTCGTATCTCCCAAGGTGGGTGCTCGCAGGCCTGAGCTCAGACCTGCGCTGTCAGACAGGGGTGACGGGCTCCCTCTCAGCTTGGGGCCTCCCACTGGGGTTCCTGCTTCTGCTACTTCAGACCCCGTTAGAACTGTGACCTGGCACAAACACAGACCCTTTCTCAGGGTCCCCTTCACGCAGCTGAGTCCGGGACTGCTGGTTTCTAGGAAGAGGGCTTCCGCTGAACAGTGGCGGCCCACTCTGCAGTTGCTCAGAACTTAGGGGGTGCACACAGCTGCCCCGGCATGTGCTGTTCTGGCTCTGAGATCTCTCCCTGCAGACCTGGCTACGGCACCTCACCTAGGTCCCTGGGTCTCTAGTGGAGGGTCTCCCTGTCCCCACCTCACAGGAGTGGCCCCTTTGAGGCCTTGGATACTGAGGCCTCAAACCTGAGTGACAGAGGTTGCTGGCTGCAGATGGGCCATGCCCCCCACCCCACCCCCGGCTTTGCCCGAGGAGCCCTCCTCCCGTAGGGCACGAGCATGTTTGGTGCCCCTTGGTTGAAGCCCCACCCCCTTCGCCTTTCCTCACTCAGACCCACTGACCAGAGCAGCTGAGTGACCCAGCTGGTCCCCCATTCTCCCAGCAGGTGACAGGTGTGAGAGCCAGTTTCCTCAGCCTAGTTTGCTGCTGGGAGGCTGGGTGGGGCCCAGGGCTGAGAAGTTCCACAGCTGCCGCTTCCCTGGCCAGCCTGGAACCTGGTGGCTCCTCCTCCCTGAGGTCACAGAGTGAAGCCTTACCGGTGCTGGCCATGAGCGAGCCCCAGGCTGTGCTCAGCTGTGTCTGCTCTGCATCCTCACCATGATACCACTGTTGTCATTCCCCACTTACAGTGGGGAAACTGAGATACACAGGGCTGGCACAGCTAGTGATGGCAGAGCTAGCTGGTGAGCTCTGCCTGTGCCAGGCTGGTTGGGTGGGATGTGAGGGCCCTGTAGGCCAGGTTTCCAAGGGAGTTCTGGGGAGACAGCCAAGTTGGGCCTGGGGTTGGGGCTGCAGCAAGTGGGGCCAGGCAATGTCAAAGGCCTCTCCTCCCATCGGTCTTTGAAGTACCTGGGCTCTCGGACATCAGAGAAGGTGAAGAACAAGATCTTGGAGCTCCTCTACAGCTGGACCATCAGCCTGCCTGAGGAAGTGAAGATCGCAGAGGCCTACCAGATGCTCAAGAAGCAGGGTGAGGCCCCCAGAGCATGGGGGATGGCCGGCACCTCCTCTCCCTGAGCTGAGCTCCAGGGGCTTCTGGCAGCAAGGTCATGGGTCTGCTCTTTAACTTCTCAAGAGCAGTGAGGCCTTTTTGTGTCTCTGCCGGAGGCTAGCTTGGGTAGAGAGAAGGTAGGTTTGGGTCAGGCTTCCCCTCAAAGTGACCCCCATGGAGTGGCCTCAAAATATGGGTGCCTAAACTCTCTCCCATGCAATTTGACATGATAGGTCAGGAGCAGGCCCTGGCCCACCAAAGTCCAGAGCCAGCATGCTGGAGAAAGACTGCCCTCCACCTTCCATTGTACGCCTACCTGGCCATGTCCCCTTCTCACCCTCTGCCCCTGGGCCTGGGCCCTGTTGACAGCCTTCCCACCACCCATCTACTCTAGGGATTGTGAAGTCTGACCCCAAGCTTCCAGATGACGCCATCTTTCCCCTTCCTCCTCCACGGCCTAAGAATGTGATCTTTGAAGACGAGGAGAAATCCAAGGTGAGGCTCTAAGGAGGGGTAGATGAGGACTCCAGGGCCCACTAAGGGAGTCAGTGAATTCCAGCCCCTGGCATCCCTGCCCTTGGAGCAGAGGCTCGTGATGATCATGACCACTGTAGTGGGTGACAGGCGCCATTTATTGAGCTCTTACTGCATGCTGAGTGCTCCCCATATAGTGCCCCTGCGTTTAATAAACACAAGAGTGCCTGGTGCCTCTGGGGTTGGTTTGAGGGCATTTCATAGGTTGACCAGGAGTTTGCATATTTTTATGTCTTTGACCCTTTTAACAGTAATTTCATGAGCTTTTTGTTAAAGAAGCATGTGTTCATGGGTAAGAAATTAAACAGCACTGAAGGAGGTAGGATAAAAAGTAAAAGCTTCTCTTTACCCAGTCCAGTCCCAAAGGGTAAGCACTGTTAAGTCTCTTGTACATCCTTCCAGAAAGGTTCTCTAACAATAGTAATAGAATGTTTTACACTATTTATTGAGAACTTATTTCTGCTGGTCGCTGTGGGGAGCACTTATGTGCAGTGTCTCAGTTGCCCTGTGGCCACTAGGTGTCAGTAGATTCTCACCATTTGACAGATCATTTGCTTAGGTAACTTACATCCCGCAGCCAGAAAGTGGGAACCAGACGTGACCCCAGGCCTGGGTCCTGCCACCACTGTCATGCCCCTTTGTCTCTGCAGATGCTGGCCCGCCTGCTGAAGAGCTCCCACCCCGAGGACCTCCGAGCGGCCAACAAACTCATCAAGGAGATGGTGCAAGAGGTGATGGCCAAGCCCAGAGCACAGGGAGGAGGCGGGATGGGGATGTTGGACTGGGCTGCCGAGATAGGATAGTGTGTGTGCTGGGCCACCCTACAGTGACCCAGCTAAAGGGCTGTCACAGCAGTGAAAGAGCTGACTGCCTGGGAGACCCTAGTGGGCTGAGCCAGGACCACCGTGTAGAGGGAAGAAATTTCCCACAGCTGAGCTCACCTGCCCTGGGCAGGTTTCTGAGAGGCTGACCACCTCTTCCATAAAAATTAGGAGTATAACTGGCTTTACTATATTTAAAATGTGTGTGTGGAGGGGGGGGTATGAACAGAGAACAATATATATTTGACTTATAAGTAAACAGATGCTCCTTGACTGACGATGAGGTTACGTCCTGATAAATCCATTGTAAGTTGAAAATATTTTAAATCGAAAATTCATGTAATACACCTAACCTACTGAACATCATAGCTTAGCCTCAGCCACCTTAAAAGTGCTCAGAACACTTATAGTAGTCTGCAGTTGGGTAAAATCACCCCAACACAAAACTTATTTTATTAAAAAATGTTAGGGCCGGCCGAGTGGCTCAGTTGGTTAAAAGCTCGCTCAAGAGTTTGAGCTCTGAGCAACAGCAGTTCAATTCCCGGCCTGAGCTGAGCTACTGCTGAGCTGCCAACAGGTGGCAGGATGGCTCAGCTAAAAAAAAAAAAAAAAAAAAAAATGTTAACTACCTTGTAATTTATTATGCATATCACTTCCGCACCACTGTGAAGTCAAAAATCACAAGTTGAACCATCGTAAGTCAGGGACCAGTGTATACATATGTCGTGGGTGCATGCTGAAACATTTTTTTATTGCTAAACGTCAGTCATCAAAAAAGTTTGCAGTCAGGCCAGCCGAGTGGCACGTTGGTTAAGAGCTGGCTGGGGATGCCAGCTCTGTGCAGCAGGGTCCTGGTTCAGATCCCACATGAGGGCCAGTGACACAGCTAAGATAGTGAACAACAGCTTGATCTGGAGCTGGGCTGCCGTGAGTTGCCCACGACGGTGTAGGCTGCAGCCCCTGCTGCAGTGGGCTGCCGTAAGCTACCATGTGTGGCTGGCAGCCAGCGTGAGCAACTGGCAGCTGGTGTGAGCTGCCAAGAGCCGCCGTGAGCGGCCGTCCAGAGGCCGGCGACCGATGTGCCTCACCCGGGAAGAGCGCAATGATGATACCAACATGGGCCAGTGAAGCGACGTCCTCCACAACTAGACTGAAGAACAAAAGGGCAGCAACTTGTCTGTTCCCCTTCTCCAGATTCCCCAGCGCTGTTCCCCTCCCCCAGTTCCCCAATAAAATCTTTTTAAAAAGTTTGCAGTCTAGAGACCCAGAGGGCAGAAGTTCTGGGTTGCCTCTTTTTTTTTTTTTTTAAAGATCTTATTGGGGAATTGAAGGAGGGGAACAGCGTTGGGAAATCAGGGAAGGGGAACAGACAAGTTGCTGCCCTTTTGTTCTTCAGTCTAGTTGTGGAGGACGTCACTTCACTGGCCCATGTTGGTATCATCATTGCTCTTCCCGGGTGAGGCACATCGGTCGCCGGCCTCTGGACGGCCGCTCACGGCAGTTCACGCCAACTGCCGGACACTCACACTGGCTGCCAGCCACTCATGGTAGCTTACGGCAGCCCACTGCAGCAGGGGCTACAGCCTACACCATCGCCAGAGACTCACGGCAGCCCAGCTCCAGGTCAAGCTGCTGTTCTCCATCTTAGCTGTAGAGGGCACAGTGTCACTGGCCCTCATGTGGGATCCGAACCGGTGGCCCTGCTGCTCAGAGCTGGTGTCACAAGCCAACTCTTAACCACCGCACCACTCGGCCGGCGCCTGGGTTGCCTCTTAAAGGCAGTCTGCATGCTCTTGACAGCCAAGAGAAAATTAAGGGTGGCTCCTCGCATGGAGGGTGATGTGTGAGATGGCACAGCCCAAGTCCACCTTTCATCCCTCAAGGGAGGAACCTGCGTAGTAAGCAGAATGGGCCATGGTAGCAGGGGCACGTCCTGCAGCTGCCTTTCAAGGCCATGAGCTCCCCACCATTTGCCAGGCACTGACAGACGCTGAGGGGGTCACTGCACTAGGTTCTAGGTTGCACTTGGTGACCACTAAGATCCTCTTTCAGGGGACAGACACGAGAAAGGCGAGTCGTGTAGAACCACAAGTGTAGGTCTGGACCCTGGTCCTCCGGAATCACTGGCAAGTGTGTTAGAAACCCAGGTTCCTGGGCCATCCCTGGAGATTCTGGCTAAGGCCCAGGGAATTCTGATGGGCCCGTGCAGAGGGGTCCCGGGGCTGTTGGCCGGAGGAAAAGAACTGAACAGGGTTGGCTGAGGGCTTCTTGGACCAGAGTGCCCTATCCTGGGCATAAGATGGACTCTTAGCAGCACCTGACCTCACACCTTGCCACAGACACTCCAGAGTGGTGTGGGCAGTGCCTGGATTAGGGCTGGGCCTGACCCAGCCTCTTGGGGGCCATTTGCTGATGCCTCCCCAGGACCAGAAGCGGATGGAGAAAATTTCAAAGAGAGTGAGTGCCATTGAGGAGGTGAACAACAATGTGAAGCTGCTGACGGAGATGCTGATGAGCCACAGCCAGGGCGGTGCTGCGGCCCACAGCAGCGAGGACCTTATGAAGGTGCGCCTTTCTCTGCCCTGTCCCAGTCCACTCCAGGACCCCTGCTGGCCCTGACCCACCTACCCTACTTGTCTCCAGGAACTGTACCAGCGCTGTGAGCGAATGCGGCCCACACTCTTCCGACTGGCCAGTGACACGGAGGACAATGACGAGGCCTTAGGTGAGCCCCTGGCAGAGCAGGCCCCATCCCTCTGCCTCTTCCCCTCCTCCCCTTCCACACTGCTGAGTATCTGCAGTTGGAAGGAGCCACCACCGACCTTGGGCTTCTCCAAGTTAGTTGAAGAGAGCGGAGAGTAGACGCTGTCATGGTTGAGAGACTCTCTGGGCCAAGCCTCTTCATGCACGCCTCATTTACTGCCTGCAAGCCACATAGGAGGGAAAATTGTTCCCATTTTACAGCTGGGGCTAAGGAAGGGGAGTGATTTGCCCAGATCATAGAGCAAAACAGTGGCAGCACCAGGGTAGAGAGCAGGGCTCTCTCCCTATATAGACGCTGCCTGGTAAGGGCTACACACTAAGAGTGAATCCCACAGGCCTGAGCAATTCCAGAGCTGGGCCCTGTGGCTTCTGCTAGGGCCATATAGCAGGCTCTCGTCCTGTGCTCGACTACCACGTCAGCAGGGCCTCTGGGACAGCGGTCTGGGTACCATCTTATCCCCTCATTCAGCAGGAGTTCATTGAGCCCCTCCCATGGGCCAGGGACCTGGTCCCCACCCAAGAGGCTCACTGCTCAGGACCCTCTAAGCCTTGGCCCCCAAAAAGGTGATACTGACAAGGGCCTAGCATGTGCCAGGCACTGTTCTAGGCCCTCAGGCATATGGCAGTGATCAAAATTGACAAAAGGCCTAACCTCAGGGAGCTTGTACCCTAAAGAGAGGAGACAGACAATAAACCCAGGAGTGAGCAGTGACAGTTTGTCAGGTGGTGCTAAGTGATGGAGGAAAATAAGCCATTGCATAGTACGGGGGTTGGGGTAGGGACAGCCTCTCTGAAGTGACTTCTGGGTGAAGACCTGAAGGCAGGGAGGGATGAAGCCATGCAGAGATCTGGGGATACCCAGACAGCAGAGCCTGTGTGGAAGCCTGGAGGCGGAAGGACGCCACTGTGTTCAGGGGCTGCTGGCCCAGGGCAGTGTGGAGGGGACAGTGGGCAAGGTGGGAACAGAGGCCTGAGTCTGAATAGATGAGATGGATGGCCTACCCCTCTCAAGGGCTGGGATGGATTTGGGGTGCTCATCTCGCCCCCAGAGGTCCCCACATTCCTTCATTCTGGCCTTTCCCCTCCTGCCCATTCCAGCGGAGATCCTACAGGCCAACGACAACCTCACTCAGGTGATCAACCTGTACAAGCAGCTGGTGCGGGGAGAGGAGGTTAATGGTGACGCTGCTACTGGCTCCATCCCTGGTGAGGTGGCAGGAGAGCTGGGGGTGGGGCACCAGGCTGGAGGGGCACAGACAATCCAGGGTGGTGTGCTGGTCCCAGAGCTGGTAGCTGTGACTGCTAAGGTAACCCTGGCCCCTTAAGATGGGGCAGGCCCCCAGGGAGAGAGCTGGGGGCGAAGTCTGCCAAGCCTGCAGCTGTGGGGGGAGGAAGTCTGGATGTGGGATGGAGCAGGAGGGAGCTGAGGGTTTGGCAAGGACAGGCCGAAGAAAGAAGAGCTTTCTTTCAGTGGACAAGTCAGGCACCTGTCGTGCGGGGCTAATTGACATCCCCCAAGGCTTAAATTAGTTTAATTATCAGAAGGCAGGAGGGAGGGTTTGACACATAAACGTTCAGGCTCAGCTTCAATAAGGGTAAAATGACAGGTCTGGGGACTGCAGAAGAGGCCAGAATTGGCCCTATTGGGGAGGGTGGGGCTTCCGCAGAGGCAGCAGAGCTTAAGCGGGGCCTTAAAGGATGGGAGGCAGCTTGCCAAGTAGAGAACAAGGAAACCCACCCCAGACAGAAGGAACACCATGTACTGAAGAAAGGACCTGGTGGGCAGATTTTGGGGCGAGGGTCGTGTGGCCAAGGAGGGGAAAGCAGGGGGGTTGGGAAGTATAGCGGGACAGTGTGCTGCCCCTCGGCCCCCATGGACTCTGAGCCTAAGTGTCCTCCCCCAGGACTTGCCTGACTCTCCTTTCCCACCGCAGGGAGCACCTCGGCCCTGTTGGACCTGTCAGGCCTGGATCTCCCTCCTGCGGGCACCTCCTACCCAGCCATGCCCACCTGCCTTGGTGACCAGGCCAGCCCTGAGCAGCCCAGCACCTCTGTATCCCTGCTTGATGATGAGCTCATGTCTCTGGGTGAGGAAGGGGGCGGGCTCGGCTGCGGGGCGTGATGCCCACCACACACATGCAGCTTACAGAGCATGGTCAGGTCAGCGTGTCACTCCTCCTGTCAGTGCTGGGCAGCATGGGGGATGGGCTTGAGGCCCATTCACAGCTGAGGAAGCTAAGGCTCAGGGAAGCAAGGAACTTGTGCAAGGTCACATCATCAAAGGGTGAGGTTGGCCAGGCCCTAAACCTGATAAGTCAGCAACACCCAGACATTTCCCTGCAGCAGGTTAGAGCCTAGATCTAGATGCTGCCCAGGCAAAAGTTCAGCAGTTTCCCCACCCGCTGAGAGGAAGGGGGAGAACTCCGTGCCCCGCAGCTTACCCAAAAGCTCCGGGGAAGCTGGCACCAGAGCATGAGGCACTCCATGAGCCAAGACCCAAGCTGATCCTGGGCCAGTCCTGTGTCACCACGGGGCGGGGTCAGGGCTCCAGAGCCTGACAGGAAACCAGCCTCATACCTGAGGAAGAAGCAGAGGGCGCCAGACAGCCATGCAGTTTTGGGGTTTCCAGCTTTGAACGCTTAGAAACGAAAGCGTAATAGCAGCCTCCTCATAATAGCCCTGAAGTTATAAAAATAGGTGGTTGGGCTCTGTCAGAGGAATATATGGGGAAACTAGGAAACCGAGAGTCCGATTGTGTTCCTCTGAGCCAGTTCTGAGGTAAAAACCAAACCTGAAGGACCCCAGGAAGGGAAGGCGTTCTGGGGTCCCGGACGGCCCAGGGCAGCGTGTAAGGAGTACTGCCCCAACCACTGCTGCTCACTGGTCTATCTTAGCCCTCCCTCCACCACATGAGCTGGGTGCTGTCAACATCCCCATTTTACAGATGCGAAAGCAAGGCTTGGGAAGGCTGGGTGGCTTGCGCAAAGAGGGCGCCAGGGTCTGGACGAGGCACTTGGATTCTGAAGCCTCGCTGAGTCTCTCTGCTGCTCTGACTCAGCTCCCCAGCCAGAAAAGAGCAATGAGTGAGGAGGGAGAGGAGGGGGACAGCGGACCAGGCTGAGTTCCCCTCGGTGAGCCCATCAGCTGGCATCCTACCTCAGAGGGTCTGTCCACAGGGTGTCCATGGGCCACTCACAAGTCCCACCCACCTGCCTCCTCATTTAGGGCCAGGGCCCCCTCAGTGCCCCTGACACTGTTTCATAGAGAAGTAAAGGATGGCAGTGACAGGAAAGCGCACACAGGCTCACCTTCCCCCACAGACCCAGGACCAGGCAGGCGGCAGCTACTTTACTGGACAGCTGGGGCGTGCAGCCCCACCTCCCAGTGAGTGGCTGTGGCAAAGCCGCCTCCTCATGAGAAGTGAGGTGCGCTTTGCACTTCCTGTCCCCGAGTTGCTTCAGCAGAGCCCTGAGCCTTCAGCTACCTCTGGTTTCTTCTCAAAGGCAATGAAAATGTGGAAATAGGAACCAGAGTGCCAGGGCAGCACCCACCCTGCTCTGGGGAGGGGAGGAAGCCTTAGGACCACAAAGGGGGCTTGTCCTAAACGGTTTTTTTCGGTGGCAGGAAAGGTGAGGGGTGTGGGGCAGGGTAGGCAAGGAGGACTTCCTGTCTGTCAGAGAGGGTGTTTCGGTAACGTCCAGGCACTTCATCTGATTTGTCTAACTCGGGTCAGCAAACTGCGGCTCGCGAGCGACACACGGCTCTTTGGGTACGTTCCATCTCAAAAGTTTGCCGACCCCAGGTCTAACTCATTACCCACAGCAGTCCTCTGATGTAGATGCTGCTGTTGTCTCTGTTTTCCAGCTGAGGCACAGGGAGGTTGTCACCCGCCCAGGTGACATATCTAAGTGGCAGAGCTATATTCAAACTCCAGCAATTAGGCCATGCTCTTTCCAAGTTGACTCTGCCACTTTCCAGCTGTGTGACCTTGGGCAGGTTAATTAACCCCTCTGAGCATCTATTTCTTCATCCCTAAGAGACAGATGAGAACCCCACACCTACCATTTAAGGATTCATTTGAGGATTCGTTGAGACCCAGTTCTGAAGTGCCTGACACATCAGGGGGTGTAAGAAATGGTAGCAGTTACCATCCTGTTGTCCCTGGTCTCAGAGCTGTGTCCAGAGGAAGAGACCCAATCGTCACTGCCGTCTGTGCCTTACTTTGCCTGTCAGGTAGCACTTCAGGCAGGATAGCACTTATTCAGGATTTGGTAGAAACAGGATAACTTGTCTTCTCTAGGTAAAATCCGGGGTTTTACTTGGCAAGGGGTGTGTTTTAGGGTAGGTAGAGGTCAGACTGGTTGGTGACCCTCTACCAACCTGATGAGCAGGACCTTCCTGGTATAAAAGGCCTACAGCTCTCCCTGGAACCAGTCAGCTAGCCGTGTTGGCACGTTCCAGGGCAGATGGGGCCTTCAGAGTCCAGCCCTGCATTGTGTGCATGGGGCCACTGCCGCCTAGCCAGCACCTTGCCCATGACTGCTCTGATTGTGGGGCCCAGGGCCCTGTTCACTGCACCACAGTTCCCTTTTGACACTCAGAGGGCGTCCCTCCAGTGAGCCGTACACGCACGCACGCACCCCCCACCCCCACCCCCAGCAGCTGCCAGCTGATGAATGAAGACGAAAGTCCTGTCTGTAGTTGAATTGACTTCTGAGCAGCAAGAGAGGAAGCATGTGTGGGCCCGGGGAATGGGCTGTCGGGATCTTTGCTTTCTACTTATGCTCTGCGACTGCTTCCCTCTGAAAGAGCTAAAGTGGGGGTTTTTCCCCTTTGAGCTGAGCCTCTCGGAGGAAGGGGGCTGGGGGGAGGGTAGGAGCCAGGGAACCCAACCCAGCACACACAGTCCCCCATCTCTAGCACCTCTGCTCAGGGACCCAGCTCCTTGACCTCTGCCTTGCTTCCCTGCAGGCCTAAGCGACCCCACACCCCCTTCAGGGCCAAGCTTGGACGGTGCTGGATGGAACAGCTTCCAGGTAGGAGGGGCCAGGAACTAGCCTAACCTGTCCTGGGGGCAGAACAACTGGGACAGGCAGCCTGGGGGGCCAATGAGAGGAGAGATGGGCGAGGGCCGTGGGGCAGGGGCTGGCCCAAGGGGCTGAGGCACCCATCCCAGGATGGAGGAAGACAGGCAGTCCTTCCTTCGTCACCTCGCTGCCAGTCTCCCTGCCAGCCCCAGCCTTGGGCCTCCCTGGGGTTCAGACAGGGGTTCCTTATTCCTTTTCTCTTAAGGGGCATTTTGAGGTCCCTGGAATGTGATGGTTTCTAGAGTAGGACCCCAGACTAGGCCCCACCCACTGATGGCCCTGTTGTGAGAGGGGTTGGGCCCAGCAGGAATGTGGTCCCCATCCCTGCCGCTTCTTCCCCCAGATGTCACCTGCAGGGAGGGGAAGGGGCCTCCTTTTCAGCACCTTTTCAGCACAGGACAAAGGACATCTTTTCAGCACCCCACCTACCTGCATCCTTTGTATGCCCAACAGTCATCTGATGGCACAGAAGCCCCAGCCTCCACTCTGGCCCCCAGCATGGACAGTCGGCCCCCAACGCAGACAGTGAGCAGTGGTCTGGATGACCTGGACCTCCTGGGAAAGACACTCCTGCAGCAGTCACTGCCTCCGGAGTCCCAACAAGTGCGGTGGTGAGGGCACACCCTGGCTGGCATGAGGGGAGCCCTCCCTGTCCCCACAACCAGCACCATCTCCTGGGCTTTCCCTGCCCCAGACCCATCAGGGAGCGGCCCAGTGGTCATTTGTTCCTGTGAGCAGTTGCTGCGGAGTACCACTCTGCTAAGCGCTGCGCTGGGTTCAAAGGACACAGCAGTGACCAAGGGAGGTGCAGGGCCTGTCCAACAGAGCATGGAGTTTATGAGAGAAAGGGGACCTGTGCCCCACTCACACCCTTCCCCGAGGCGTCCCAGCACCTGAGAAAAATGGAAGACCCGGAAGGTCAGCCGTGAGGAAGACACTGAGCCTGAGTGGGCTGGGGGAAAGGGTGGGCTGGAGAGCAAGAGCTGCCTGTTTTCAAGCGGAGGCAACCAAGGCCAAGAGCCAGGGAGGCGTCAGGGCCAGTCAGGAGCCCAGCCTTTCCGGTGCGCCTGCGCTCTTGGCCACCTCTCAATGCACCGTGCCCCAATAAGGGAGAAGCAGCAGCCAGCCCCCCGGCTCACGCTTCGGGACCTGCAGAATAAAAGCAGCTGCAGCTCGCCCAGCTCCGGCGCCGGCGGCCCCTTCCACACTGCGTCCCCTGAGCCCCCTGGGCCTCCGCAGCAGCCCCTGCAGACGGAGCTCTCACTGGCCAACATTACGGTGCCTCTGGAGTCCATCAAACCCAGTGAGTAGGGCGCGGGCACGGGCGGGTACAGGCGCGTCAGCTCGCTGCCTGGCAGCACCACCCACCTCTTTATCCTGCTGGGAGCTCTTTCTGAGGAAGCAGGTGGGGAAACGGGGCTCTCCAGTCCTGCCACTGCCTGACTCAGCAGGGAGCTCTGGGCACGACCTTTCCCCTTCCCAGCTCTCAGTTTCCTTATCTGTGGCCACAAAACCGCTGTGTAAATTCCAGGGTTACACAGGCAAGAAGGCTTCTTATGATGGCCCCTGGGCCCATCCCTCCCGAGAAGGCAGGTCCAGGACACACAGGTTTGGGGTCTCCCCAAGATCACAAAACCAAACCAGGTCCAGGTCTGAGTTTCCCCCACCCAGGAGCAATAGGGGAGCCACTGGCAGCGCCAGACCCTGCACAGATGAAGACAGGCCAAGCGTCTCGGTCTTGTCCATCTGGTGAGCTCACTGTGACCAGGGCGTCACACCTTCAGTGCCCCCGGGAGGTAGTGATGGTGCCCCTATCTTACCAGTAGGGAAGACCCTGAGCTCAGACAAGCGGAGTGACTGGACCAGGGTCACACAGTGAGAGCGGGACCCCAGCTCACCCACAGTCCTTCACTCCAGCATGCCATGAAGCAGCCTCGTGGCATCGGGGGAGTCCCGACTAGGGCTCAATTCCGGGCCGGATGTCTTGCCTCTGCCATCATACCAGAAGTTCATCTGTCCCATCTGGTGCCAGTCTGTGCCCCTGACTGCACTGCCACCCAGGTCAAGGCAAGGACCTAAGTTGGGATTTGTTCATTCTTTGCCAGCCGAGCAGTGAGAGCCTGATGTGAGCCAGGTGAGGGGAGCTGGTCAGATGTGCTTGGGCCTGGCACCACCCATCACCCTCTCCCCTTCTCCCCTGCCAGGCAGCATCTTGCCAGTGACCGTGTACGACCAGCATGGCTTCCGGGTTCTCTTCCACTTCGCCCGAGACCCGCTTCCTGGGCGCTCTGATGTGCTGGTGGTGGTGGTTTCCATGCTGAGTACCGCTCCCCAGCCCATCCGCAACATTGTTTTCCAGTCAGCTGTCCCCAAGGTGACATGGGCATACCTCCCTTCTCTCAAGGCAGAGCGACTCAGGGCTGGATGGGGGACCAGCTAGGAGCAGGGTCTCTCTGTCTTCCAGAGGAGTTGGGGTGGAAGGGAACCAAAGGACAGCCCCAGGCCCCCCAGAGGAGAATCTGGCAGGCAGGCTGGGCCTGGTTCCTCAGGAGATGGGGACGAGAAGCCAAGGCTAGCTGTGCCCGTCCTGCCCTCCTGTCCGCAGGTCATGAAAGTGAAGCTGCAGCCACCCTCAGGCACAGAGCTGCCGGCATTTAACCCTATCGTCCATCCCTCTGCTATCACCCAGGTCCTGCTCCTCGCCAACCCCCAGAAGGTGAGGGACCCAGCTGTGACAGGGCACCACTATGGGGTGGGGGCAGCCTCTTCTCCACCTCTGACCTTTCTGTCTTCACCATCTCTGCCCCAGGAGAAGGTTCGTCTTCGCTACAAGCTCCTCTTCACCATGGGCGACCAGACCTACAATGAGATGGGGGATGTGGACCAGTTCCCCCCACCTGAGACCTGGGGGAGCCTCTAGAACAGACAGGGGAAGGGGAGAGGAGGAGGAGGCAACAGGACTGGCCACTGGCTAGCCTGTGTGGGAGGCTGTGGTGGCCTTGGACACCCTTTGTCCCCATGGCCATATCCCCTGTGCCTGGTGCTTCTCCCCTCACCCCTACGGCCCCCTCCTTCATTAACCCCTCCCCTGCTGAGCCAAACCCAGCAGAAGGCTGGGCCTGGGTTTGCACTGCTGGGGACCTTCACCACAGGTGGAAGCCTGGAGCAGGGAAGTCCTGCATTGCCCCGGAAGGACTTGGGGTCGTTGGGAGAAGCATGGCTGTCGGGCAAGGGCCAGGACCTCGGCCCCAGCCCCAACCCCAGCCTGGGGTGGGGTCATCCCCGCCTGTCTCTCTTATGCCTTATGGGAAGGCCCAGCCATAACTTGGGGGCCGTGCTGGAGCCGGGGACTGGCTCAGGCCTCCTTCATAGGAACCGGGTGACTGAGGGGGTGATGCCTGCACCCTCAGCTGTTTGCACTCTCTGGTGTGTGGTTTGACTCTCAGCTTTTCTTTCTAAGTTGCCCTGTGGTCACCATCTCAGGGGGCCTAGTTGCGGGAGCCCCACCCATCCCCTACACCTCCTGGGGGTCTCCCCCCACCCGCCTGACGCCTTTGCTGTCAGGCCTCCTGAGGGGCTGCAGGGGCTGTGTGACTGCCAGACCAAGGGTAATGCCAGAGACGGGGCCCCAACTGGGGGCCAGGGGCTTCTGGCCAGGGGAGGTCCTACACTGCAGTTCTCAGTGTCTCCTTCATTCATTGGCCTCTGCTGGGGCCTCCTGTGGGCATCTCACCTCTGTCCATCCATCCAGCCATGGGCAGAAGTGGGGTCAGTGTGTGAGTGAGAGCTGGAGTATTTATGGAAATAAAATGTCCTTTTTCCTGGACCAGCTGCTCTTGTGGCCCTTCTGAGGTGGAGGGAGACAGGAGGGGTCCAGGAGTGGGAGGTCCCCGGGGCTGCTCTGCAGACCTCTCTCTGCCTCTGTCTTTGGAGATCGGGCCATGGCGCTCTCCCCACCACCCCTGAGCCCTGCGCAGGAAGAGGCCCTGCTTGGGGGCCTGTGGCTGGTGATGAGTCACCAGAGAGGGCTCAGGGCTGTAGCGGGCCCAACGCCATCCCAGCTGGAAGTGAGTAGCCGCTCAGGGCCTGCCAGGAGCCCAAGCTGCTTGTAGACCCTGAGGGGGAGGCCCCTGGCGGCTCACAACTTCCGCTTTCTGCACTCAGCCCTCAAAACATAACTGTGCTGCAGCGCTGCCCTGAGGCCCGTGCCTCAGCTTCCCCCTTTCCCCAGAGGCTGCTCCCAGGAAGCAGGGAGTCAACTGCAGCTAGTTTCTGGAGAAGCCACAGGACCCTGCACTGGGCCTCCTGCCACTCCTAGCAGCAGCACACTTCCCCCTAGCTCTGTGAATGTTTTCTTTTAACTGGGAGGCTGGGGTCCAGGCCTGGGGAGTGGCTTAGAGGCCAGAAGCTGAAAGAGAGCCAGCCAGTGCTGAGCTGAGCGGAGCCAGGGGGAGCCAGTCCAGGGACTTGTACGATGGTGTGGAGCCAGCCCTCCGAGCTGCTCTGCAGGAGAGGGTTCCTGCTCAGATAAGCCTGGGGAAGGCTGCCCGCCATTTCTCCTCCCTAGCAGATGATGGAAAATCCTGCATTTAAGAAACCAATTGCACTTCATCTAACAATCTAGTGTTCCCCAGTCTGAACTTGGCCATGACCCCCTTTTCGTAGGTCCTGTTGAGATGTGCTGGAGAATAGCCCAGCACACCTGACTCCCCAGCTTCCGTTCAGCAAGTGAGGGTGACTTCGGTGTGCCAGGAGACACTGAAGTGCAGGAGAGCTGCTCCCCATCGGCCACGCTGCTGAGGGGACAAGAGCAGGAAGCGAGGCCCATGAGCCGGCGCTTCCAGCTCTTCACCCACTGGAGCCTCCTAGCATCCCTTGGACACTGCCCTCCAGCCACCCAGCCTGGTTCCTGTTCCCCTCCCCCCAGGCAGGATGCCTGAACACTTGTGATGTCCCAGAAAGACAACCTAGTCGGAAGGTTCTTCCTTATAAGTGACACAAAACCCTATTCCCTGTAAGGTCCCTCTGGGGTCCCAGAAGTACGGCCAAGAGCACAATCTCACTGGCCGATGAAGGGCTCAGGTAGGTGTGGGAATGTGTGTAGCTGCCAGCAGGGAGTCGGGCTGCTTCCAGTGGGGTCCAGATTGCTTCTCTAGCTTTTAGGTTCCTTGTTTGAAAAGGTGGAAGGAACCCTGGGAGGTGTCAGGCCCCATGAGGCCTTCTGAAGAGTCTGAGCAAAATGGTCCACCCAGGCTTGGAGTGACCCAGATGTTACAGGGGCAGGGAGCTCCCTTCATTCAGACCTCCCACCTCCCGTGTTCCCAGTCTATCCATCCGTCTGGCCAGTCATCCTGCAAGTGCTTTCAGGCACGGCCCTGTTCTTAGAGCTCTCTCAGCCTGGCGTGGAACCTGTGAGCCAGGAGTTCAGCACGACATGCTGGGAGGGAGGGGGCATGAGGTGCCCAGCGAGCCCCTCATCTGTGAGGGGCGGGTGGGGGTCTGATCAGAGGAGGGGACCCTTGGCCACTGCTCCCTGGAGGAGGCATTCCCCAAATACAGTGTGTCACTCCCAGCAGAGGTCTGGAGCCCTGCGTAGGAACCCACAGGCTGGAATGGGGGGCACAGGGAAGGAGTGTTCTCTGCCTTTTGAAGGGTGACCCCCCCACACACACACACACACACTTCAGGAGCAGTGGGACTTCCCAAGCCTTGAAGCCACACTTCACTTCTTTTTGTGCTGCTAGAGGCAGCAGGGGTTTTTTTGTTTTCTTTTTTAGCAACCGAAGCACACCGCTTATTTGTTCATGGCAGCCAAGAGAAACAGGCCACTGCTCGCCAGGGAAGCCTGTCTCTGCTGTTCTCTTGATGCCCCTGTCCCCAGTCTCTGGGCCTCCTGGCCAGGGAACAGGCACAGCCAGGCAGGTTAACAGGAGCCAGCCCTACACCTGGCATTTTGCTAGACCTGCTGTATTCAGCCTCTCCCTTAATCATCAAAACTGTCCCGTGGAAATGGGAAACAGGCTGAGAGAGCGTATAAAGGGCACTTAATTGTCATGTACTTTAGTACATCCTCAAGTGAGGTTGGTATGGGTGCCATTTTAGGGCCCAAGTCTGAGTAGCATCCCTGTGAGGCCTCCCTAGCCCCTAGCCCATCCCACCCCCGTCCCTCTGTCAGCTGCTATCCTCTGGGGCCAGGGTTAAGGGTACAGGCTCCAGGGCCATCAACATTGTGCCAGAGCCCTTGTGCCTCAGCCCCACGCCAGGGTCTCCTAGGAAGTCCTTTTGGCTTGAGGAGGGTTCTTTTTAGAGCCCCAGAAATCATACCACATGCTTCATTGCTCTGGGTGGAAGCCTCCTCTCAGAGGGCAGCATTGACATGGCCACAAACAAGCAATGTGTCAAAGTGTGTAAAGGGATGTTTTTGCTCAGTCCTGTGGCCCCACAGCTGACCCCTGCTACCACCACCCTCACAGCCCAGCCACTGGCCGCCTTGCCCACATCCTGCTCCAGCTTCAGCACAGACACTTCTCGGAGTATCACAAGTTTTCACAGCCTGTACTGAGGCCTCTGGGCCCCTCAAAGCCACAGGAATTAAGATGGGGGCAGCAACCAGCATTGCTGGGTCTTCAGGTAGTGCCACCTGGCACGGCAGGAGAGGTAGGGGCTTTGGAGCCTGTCAGATCTAGCTTTCTAACTTGGTCTCTACCACTTAAGCCAGCTAGGATCCTTGGACCAGGAGCCTTGGTCTACTCACCTGTAGAATGGGGACAACAATGCCAACCTCACTGGAGGATGTGCTAGAGTACATGATAATACGTGCAGTTGTCCCAAGACAGCATGACACATTGAGGTGCAACTGAGGCAGGAATGGGGGTAAAGGGCCTTTGCTCCTGACTGCAGGCTGAATAATACTTTGCAGGCTGAATAAAAAATGGCCAGGTACTGTTCTAAGCATTTTACATATCAATTTATTCAGTTTTTACAACAGTTAGACGCTATTATCATTCGCCCCATTTTACCAAGGAGGACACCGAGGCTCGGAGAGGTGAACTATCCCACCCAAGATCGCCCAGCTGGCTGGACCCATCCGCACTGTTAAGCTCTGTTATTGCTGTCTTTGGGGTTGGAAATAAGTGTCCATTGATGCAGCGTCTTCACTTGCGATTCCGGTCAGCTGTGATTTTTGAGCTCCTGAGACAATGGCACATTGCTAGGTCGGGGAAGATTCAGCATGAGCCAGACAGGACCCAGGCCCTCCTGGGGAGTCGACCCCGGAAGGTCAACAAGCCCTTGCAGTGCAGTGTGAAAAGGTCTTGCGACTGGAGTAAGGGTTGGCTGGTGACTTCTGAGGTCTCCCTTCTGCATATGCCGTTCTAAAACTGCCATTTCAACATCCACTGAATGAAACAGATTCTGAGTTCAAAAGTCTCTGATTACAACATCCTTTGAACGAATAACCTATGATCCAACCTTTGAGACTTCCAATCTGTTAAGATTCCACATTCACGTGTGCTTGAGCTTCAATGTATATCCAACGCTAAAATATATCCCTCGCCCAGTCAAGAGGCACAGCAGCCCCACCCAGGCAGGACAGAGAAGAACCAATGACTTAACTGCAGAGACTCTTGGGTCTGACTGGAGGGGACCCTGGAGCTCAGGTGGCCTGAGTCTATGGTTTGGGTTGTTTGCACAGCAGCTGTTGCTACAGCCCTGATGGACTGACCCCGCCTGAGGCTGGAGCTGGGATTCAGGCCTGGACAAGCCTAGGAGGAACAGAGGTAGAAGCCAGGCCTTACCCTCAGGGACCTTCAGAACAGCTGGGGAAGTGGACAAGCCCAGACCCAGTGTGGTCTGTGCTGCAGGCGGGGCTCAAACAGGGTGGGGACGCCATGGAGCCTGGAGATTTCCCAGACAGCAGGACTGTAGGAACCTGGTGTCAAGCTGCTGACTTGGGAGTCTTCAGTTTCCTAATTCTGCACACAGTAGGTTGTGCCCATTGCAGAGTGGCACATCGTGAGCACATCATGAGGGAAAGTGAGCCACAGAGAAGTTCTGGGGGCTGGCCCATGAGGAAGGTGGAGAGGACAGGACTAGAACCCAGACATTGCAACCCCAGCCCCACATTTTAAGAAGCCAGATCTACAATGGACTCTGGTGTCTCCCTCCATGGTGGCATTCTTCAAGCCCTGCCCACTTTCTAGAATCCCCTCCAGGGACCTTCCAGTTGGGGAAAAGGAGTTGGGCAAGAAAAGCTTGCCTGGGACCTCATCATGGCCTGAGCCTTTGATCCAGGAGCCTCCCAGTTTCTAGCCAGGATTCCACTCAGGTGGGGGCCTCTGGCTCAAGCATCAACAGCTGGGGGGAGGGAGGTTCCCTTCTCCACCCCTCCCCACCGCTCTGGAGCCTGCCCAGCTCTCCCTTTGGGGAGTGGAGAGGCAGCCAGAGTCCAGCAAGTGCCCAGGCCCTGTGCTGGGCGCTGGAACACTGAGACGCCTGAGGCGGAGGTCCTGTCCTCAAGAATTGCCCAGTCTGCCCACCCACACAAGTAGATGCTCAAACTGTACTGAAACTCCAACAAATCAAAGTGCAGTGTGTGTGGCAGGACTTTACCCTACACCCCTCCTTCTCCCTCCCGCCCCTGGGGCTCCCGATGCCCAAGGTGCTGGGGCTCAGAGCAAAGAGAGCCAGCCACCTGTTTCCCAAATCTTGTATTAACTAGCAGTTATGGAGCACCTACTGTATGCCCAACTCTGTTGTAGGTGGAGGGCCAAAGGGATTACTACTGAGTTTGGAGAACAGCAGCACTCACATCACTGCCTTACAAGAAGGAAGGGCAGGGACTGAGGAAGTCTGGCAGAAGGAGGAAACTGTCCGTGCTGGGGCTGGGGGAGAGCAGAGTGTCAGGGAACTGCTCTGGGAGTATTCCCTATGCTGGGGGGTGGCAGACACCCCTCCTGCCCTTAAAGGGGCAACAGGAGCTGGAGCATGGATGCTGGAGGAGTAGGCAGGAGTATCCTGTGCGCGCCTTGGGTCGAGCAGGGCCAGCACAGCTGGCCCATCAGGCCATTAGAGACAGCAAGTCCAGGGTTCCAGGGACTTGTCCAAGGGCACACAGAAGCCTGGTGGTCCCAGGAAGTCAAAGCCCCCAGCCAATCATCCAGCAGGGGAGCAGGTCAGGAGGTCCTTTGGGGAGGGAGTCCAGAGCAGCATCCTGTGGCGGGCCCAGACAGGGCAGAACGGTCAGAGAGGCCTGTCTTTGGCCTCTGCCTCCTAAGCATGGGACCCTCATTTCCCTTTGAGAAGGGTGTAAAGGTTATTTATAATCAGGGCTGGCAGGCCGGTGGGTGGGGCAGGAACCTCGGGCAGGCGCAGTGGCAGGAACGGCTTACCTGCTTCCCGCCACCGGCACTGGGCGGGACGGGCGGGGAGGAGCTGTGCGCACAACCTGTGGGCAGCCCGGCGGCCGGCCGACAGACTTTCGTAGGGACTGGCCAAGGGCCTTGGGGGGCCCGGAAGACTGGGAAAGCGAGAACCCAAACTTGGATAGAGGAGTGACCTGGGGGCCGGGGGCGGAGCCGTGAGCGGGGAGGCGGGCGCGAGCGGGAGCGCGCTGGCCCAGGAAGCGGAGAGCGCCGCCCACCCATCCGGGGCGAGAGCGCTGCGGGCAGAGGCAGGCTGGGCCGGGGGCTGCCGGCCCTCGACCCCTACCGTGACCCTGTAGCCCCCAGCCCGCCCCCAAGATGATGAAGCGGCAGCTGCATCGCATGCGGCAGCTGGCCCAGACGGGCAGCTTGGGACGGTGAGTGTCCACCCGGTCCCTTCCAGCCTCGGGCTCACCCCCACATGACCTGATGGAGGGGCCGGGGAGGCTGAGGACGGCTGGACAGCTACCCTCTGACTAGCCAGAGCCCTGCGGCTCTTCCTCCCCTCTGAATGCCATCCCCGCCTCCCAGCCAGAGCTGGAGGGAAAGGGGCTGGTTTTGGGGGGAAGGGGCACCCTCACCCGTGATTGGAGTGGGGTGCAGGGAAGATCAAGGATGCTGAGTCTTCTCTGACTCCATGAGCCTCTGAGCGAACGCTCCTTCCTAGCCTTACTTGTCCCCTCTGTACAATGGGGACAGTTAACCATCTCTGGTTGTCTGGGGGGAGGGGCGGTCAGGGCCCCAGACCTTGGGGGAGGGAAGGAGACTGGGTCCTGGCGAGGTGGGAGGAGGGGCCTGCCCCGTGCTGCTGGGTGCCCCTCCTCCCCCAGCCCAGAGGCCTCCTGCTTCTCTGTCTTGCTTCTCCTTTCCCAGCCTCAGGTAGAAACATCCCCAGGCCGCCCTGTACCCACACTCTGAGCTGGTGGAGTGGAGGCCGGAAGTTTGGGGAGCTCCCTGGGCCTGTCTTCTCTCTTCTTCCCCCTACATTGAGAGTTTCCCATCCCTGGGCCCATGGGAGGGGCCCAGGGTCCAGAGACCTGGTTCTAGTCTCACCCTGGCACAGATGCTTGTGGGCCTGGGCCGTCAGGCCACAATGTCTCCGTGTGTCCCTAGGCCGGGGCCCAGGGCCTGCCCACCATTAGGTCCGGAGTCCTATGTGACTGACAGCCCAGAGTCTAAGCTCAAACACTTCCCGTTCTTGGGGCCAGCCCAGGCCTCCTCTCCCCAGGGTCAGCAGAAGAGAGAGGCTGGGTCCTGGGGTGATTCCCCCAGTCCTCCCTCGGTTTTGTCCGCCCTCTCTCAGAAGCCCTCTCACAGAATACAACCCTGGGTGGAGGAGGAAAAAGCCATGTATCCTATTGCCACCCCCATGGAATGTGCTCCGACAGGGATGAGGCAGGCGGGCCACCCAGGGCGGGCCCCAACTGGGAGGGGCACTGGAAGCAACTGGGGTCCAGGTGCCCTGTTGGGGGGGGCCAGGGGGTTTCCTAACCTGGGCCAGCTCAGCAGAAGCTCTATTCTACCCCCCGCCCCCCACAGTACCCCGGAGACTGCTGAGTTCCTGGGTGAGGACCTGCAGCAGGTACATGCCTGGGCGGGCCAGCCAGGGTGGCAAGGCAGGCCTGTGCAGGCTGTCAGCAGAGGGCCGGGCGGGGGTGCCAGTTGGGGGCCCAGCTTGAGTCACTCCCCGAGCTGTTGGCCATGGGGTCCTCAGAAGGAGGGAAGAGAAAGGTGGTTCCTGCTCTGGGGAAGAAAGAATAGGGTAGTGGGGGGTGGGGGACGCAACCTGGGATCATATCTCCCTTGCTCCCTCCCAGGTGGAGCAGCGGCTGGAGCCAGCCAAGCGAGCGGCCCACAATGTCCACAAGCGACTGCAGGCCTGTCTGCAGGGCCAGAGTGGGGCAGATATGGACAAGCGGGTGGTGAGTGGGGGTCCCAAGGAGGAGGGGCCTGCACAGGACGCCTCTGTTCCAATGGGGGAGTGAGGTCGGGGCTGGAGTCTCCCAGCCAGTCTGAGCCTCTGGCCCCAAGGAAGTGAATACTACTCTGTTCCAAGCCCCAACCCACAACCAAGCACCCCACATGAGTCCCTATGTCTTCCCCAACCCTTTCTTGACCCTGTCCCTCTGTGCACCAATCTACTGAGCCAAGGCCAGGCCTCTGACTGCACCTGAACGTCTCTGCCCAGCCAGATCCTAGAGCAGAGCAGGCGCTCTCAGCTGGGGTAGTCTGTGACGTGAGGGCTTCCTGAAGGAAGTGGCATTTGAGCTGGATTTTGAGTGATATTCACTGGTGTTAATCAACAGCCAGTATTTATGGACTGATTACTGCTAGCCTGTTGCTAAGATGTGTCAATGCATTGCCTCACTCGATGCTGACAACAACCCTAGGAGCAGGCTCCCTTTATTAGCCCTTGTACAGATGAGGAAACGGAGACTTCAAGAGGTAAAGTGACTCACTTGAGGTCACACAGCTAGTAAATTGCATAACTGAGATCTGAACCCTGGTCTCTGGATAAAGTTGGTGCTCTTCATAACTCTAGGTAAGAATGGATCAGGCATGTTTTT